TGTGTGTGTGTGTGTGTGTGTGTGTGTGTGTGTGCATGGAGCGACACTTGCCTTTGAATTGGGCTGGATCAGCCTTGTAAAACAGAGTGGTTATGAGTCCACTGAAATTTTCTTGCGGGTGATGACCCACTCAGCTCTGTTCCAAACCAAGAGATATGGGGGGAAGACTTCTCATTCCTCATCTCATGCAACATGCTGGGCGCACTGACGCAACTGCCAGCTGACCCCTAACTACCCACAGCAAAGGCAAAGCTCCCCCATGGCGTGCCATGCTGGGCGCACTGACTCAAATGCCAGCTGACCCGGGCGCGTGCAATGTTTGCACAGCCCATGCAGAAACAACCAAGGCAATTCAGGCCAGCTTCAGGGACAGGCTCCCTAGAACCTCTCCATGGTTGGGACAGAATGGAGCTCCCTAAGCTCCATTGTGCCATGCAGGGCCCTATGCTGACGAGGGCTGTGGCTGAGCCACTAAGGTTCAGGGGCGCATCCCAACTTAAGCACTCTGCACATGGAGTACATGCGTCTGCACATCGGGTCACTTGCATCTGCACATGGTGTGCAGGCATCTGCACATTGGAGCACAGGCAGCATGCGCTCATCGTTCAGGCCTCACGGGCGTCGTGGGCAGTACAGAATAAAAAACACTCGTCCTCGGCTCTCGCGCCAGGGAAATCGGAATTGGAGTGCCTCTTGCGGCATGAACTCCGCCTCTCGCGGCATGAACTCCGCCTCTCGCGGCGTGTGTCTCTTACGTATCTCTCACCACTCCGTCTGCATCATGGCGCATGGCGCAAAACATGATGTTGAGAATGTGGGGTTTGGTGTTGAGATGGTGGTGTGGTTTACTGGTCACGGCAGTGTGTGGCCTGCCTCCGCAACACCATCTTCTTCGTCCAAGGTGGAGTAACCCTCCATCAGAGGACATTGGGCTGCAATAATCAGCAGCATGTTTCTTGCAATGCCTGCCACACTCAGGCATGCTTACTCTCTGTACTCTCTTTGCTACACTTCCCTAATTGCCACGCTGCTGCTCCATCCTTGCCCTCTCCCCAGGGCTTGCTTGGCCTTAGGCCATCATTCCTTTACACATAGAAGGTTGAGGTATTCTACTACATCATATCCAGATGAAACTTCATGTGGAAAGCAGAATGTAGAACATAGAACGTAGACATTCTCAACATAAAGGTCCAGGGGAAGTCATCAACCAAAAACCCCTATAACAACCTAACTAATTGGTCACCAACAGTAAAATTGAAACAACACTAAATGAGCATGTCACATACTTGCATACTTCAGTACTGGCAGGGACACTCAGGGCACTCTCATACTCGGATATTTGCATACTTGCATACTTCAGCACTCTGGCAGACACCCAAGGCACTCTCATACTTGGATACTTGCATACTTGCATACTTCAGCACTCTGGCAGACACCCAAGGCACTCTCATACTTGGATACTTGCATGCTTGCAGACTTCAGCAATCGAAGGGACACTCAGAGCACTCTAGAGCACTCTAGAGAGATCTCATATTTGGATACTTGCATACTTGCATACTTCATTACTAGCAGGGACACTCAGAGC